TGTATGTGGCACGTCGGTGTAGCCCAGAGGATGTTTGTAACCCAGCGGATGTTTGTAAAGGGCACACTCGTTCCTTCTTTCTGGCCACTGCTCATTGCACGACCAGGGATCAACAGCCGATTTCGGACGGGGCCCAAATGGGCGCCTCCCGGCGTCCGTTGCCCTCTCGTCCCCCCCGACACCGTGGACCGCCGCAGGACCGTCGCCGCCGCCGCCGGCCCTCGGCGGCCCGCCTTGGCCGTCGGCGCCGGCGTCGGCGGCCCTCGGCGTCCCCCGTCGGACGGGGCTTTTGGATGAGATTACCTCCGCTCCAGAGCGTTCCAGAACGCTCTCAGAGCGTTTCGGAGGCCGCGACGCCCGAGATGTTCTCCAGAGCCGCCAGATCTCAGAGGTTCTCGATTCATCCCCGCATCGTCCTAGGATTCCTGTGCGCAGCCTGGCGTGAGTTCTGGGTCATGGGCGGCTCCAGTCTCGGAGATGAGAACGTCCATGCAGGCCTGGAGGCCCAAGGATAACCGAGCACGCCCAGAAAGTTCGATGCTCGAGCTCGGAGCATGTGCCCCTCCTTCAAAAATAGCATGCAGTGGAGGACCTCACCGATAAACTATGTTTTTCGTCAGGGTGCCCTGGGTTTCTTCATGTCGAGTGATGCGCGGTGGCTTCCCCCGATTGAGCCCAGGGTACCCTGACCTTCTTCCCCGATCGCAACTGGCGCAACTCGCGCGCGCAATGGCCCGCCACATAAGAAACCTTTGTGTTCAACAGGTACGTTGAGCTTCCTGCACCCATGCGGATTCTGGTCGCAGGTGTAGCAGGGGGCCCGCAAGGACCTCACAGCTCGCCAGTGCAATCTCCGTCCCCTGCAGCGCGTGGTAAGCAGGTTGACCAAGGCCATGCAGCGAAAGCAAAAGACATCGGATTGCCCCCGAGGCTCGTTGGGTTTTGCTGGATGCCGCAGGGGGGCCGCCAGGATGCCTGAGACTCCCTTGGCGGGGCTCGCGGAAGAGCCTCCGCGGACCGCCAGGGCACATTGGGTGTCCTGGCACGATGGCCATTACAACCAGGCGTTAACAGCGTCGAGGGAAGACATCGAATGTCCTTCGGCCCAGCTGACAGCGTCGAGGGAAGAAATCTAGTGTCGCGCGTCGGCGCTAACATCGTCGACGGTCGTGTCGGGGTCTTCCCAGCTGTTGCCTGCGAATTTTCTCAGTGCGACCTGAGAGGAAATCGAATGCCCTTCGGCGCGTTCCGCCACCGTGCCTGGGTCCTGGTGTGAAGCCTATGAGATGTTCGTTTGGATCTCGTGGGAGGCCTCTCGGGTGCCTCTCGGAGGGAGTTTGGAGGCCTCTTGGGGGCCATTAGGGGTCTCTTGGGGCCTCTTTTGGCTCTCTTGGGCGTCTTGTGGGCTTCTTGGGGCCTCCGGGACGCCTCTTGGGGCCTCCTGGGGGCGTCTTGGGGCGGAAGGCTTGGATTTTCGGTTCGTGTTCCCATTCTTGGGCTCCTTTTGAGGCCGTCTTGGGGCCCTCTTGGGCCGTCTTGGGCGCAACTTGGGCCGTCTTGGGCACCTTTTTGGCTGTCTTGGGGCTCTCTTAAGCTGACTTGGGGCCCTCTTGGAGACCTCTTGGGCTGTTTTGGGGTGGTCTTGGGGACCTCTTGGGCCGCCTTGGAGCGTCGGAGAGCCGAAAAGGCGAGAACGCCAACATCTTTCAAAAACCAGAAATGAAAATCAATGACTGCCCGGGCCTCTCGGAGGCCCCTCGGGGAGTCTTGGAGGCCTCTTGGGCCATCTTGAGGCCATCTTGGGCGTCTTGGAGCGACGGTTCGGCGACTCGGGGCCCTCTTTGGACCGTTCTGGGGGCCTCCTGGGGCCGCCCTGGCCCGTCGTCGGGCCGCCCGGAATTGCCACGCGGGGAGGCGTGCCGGAGCCCATGGGGCATTTGCGAGAAGCCCCGGGAGAGTTCGGAGGAGGAGGAGGAGTCGGTTATAGCCAGGGCCCCGGGTAAGGGGACCCGGTTAGTGGTAGGGCCCTGGGGCCCCTCAATTGGCCAGATTCACGAAAACCGTGTCTGCCGTAGCTGGTGTTTTTCGGGTGATGGCAGTTCCGGTTGGTGGTAATGGGGCGGGGGGGCGCCCCCGGTACAAATCACTAAACCAGGTTCCACTAAACCCAGTTCTGGCAACGCCCGAGAGGAGGACATTTGGGTCCAGGCCCCTGAAAGACTCCTTGGGACTGAGGACTGAGGCTCCAGGGATCAGGCAGAGGACTTGAGGACGCGCCCACTCCCTACCCGGAGGCACGGTGGCGGATCTCTCGGGCCAGGGTGCCGTGATGACGATGATGATGGCGATGATGATGATGATGATGATGATGATGATGATGATGATGATGATGATGATGATGATGATGATGATGATGATGATGATGATGATGATGATGATGATGATGATGATGATGGTGATGGTGATGATGATGATGATGATGATGATGATGATGATGATGATGATGATGCTGCTGATGATGATGACGATGCTGATGCTGCTGATGATTAGAATGCTGATGCTGATGATGATGACGATGATGATGATGGTGATGATGATGATGATATTGATGATGATACCGACGATGATGATGCTGATGATGATGATCATGATGATGCTGCCGCTGATGATGATGAGGAGGATTGTGATTCTTGTGATGATGCAAATGGTGATGATGATGGTGACGACGACGATGATGATGCCGATCATGATGATTATGATGATGATGATGATGATGATGATGATGATGATGATGATGCTGATGATGTCGATGATTATGCTGTTACTGATGCTGCTGACGATGATTTTGATGCCGATGATGATGATGGAAATGTTGATGCTGATGCTGACGCTGATGCTGATGATGATGCTGCTGCTGATGATGATGATGATGATGCTTATGATGATGCTGATGATGATGATGATGATGATGATGATGATGCTGATGATGATGCTGATGCAAGTGACAGTGACTCAGGAAACTGTAGGTGCACAGAGGAGTGAGATGATAATCAGAAGCATGCGTGTGAACGCTCGGGGAACGCGTGTTCGTAGGCATCCGTTGCGACCATTCGGAGAGCTCGTGTACATTACATTACATCGTGATGAAACCATACATTCTTGCGCAACTCATCGCTTTTACGCGCGTCCCGTTCATGTCAAAAAAGGATGATCGGACTAGGGTGCCTTAGGTTTCTCCGAACAGAGCCCTTTACCAAGAAACCCACGCCCTGGGCTTGCAGTGACAAGACAAGCTCAGGGGGTGCAGGCTTGTTTCCGGTGAAAATAGAGACAGGCTTTGTGCAAGATTGCGGATTTTCATGGCTGATGGCTGGGTTTCTCTTCCGAGGGTTTCTTGCGGCCGCGTCCCCACTGCATATACACGGGTGCGTACTGGACAGCATCCAACGCTTTTCCGGCCGTGGCCACGAGGGCGCCCCAGTCGATTCTCGCCCCCCCCCCGCCCGAACGTTGCGGTGACCACGTTGTGTGGTGAGTCAGTGGACGTTCTGGGTGACCGCACGGTTTTGAGACTCGGGCCGTTTCCCGAGGATGTCTCGGGCGACGGGGGCCTCCGAGGTCCCAGAACCGTGCGGCGACGGATCGTGCGGTGGGTTTTTTTGTGGGATTCCGAGGTCGCTGCACGGTCTGTCGCTTGTTCGCCCACAGTTTCTAAACATTTGGTGCCAACCCCCTTGGGCTGAGCATTCCCCGCTTTAGTGAGGCACCCGGATGGCTTCTGCAACGTCCCGCTGAGTTAGTACACTTGGCCAGCAGTGACAAACGACGCTGTCACCGCACCTTTTCGGGCGCCCCAGAAGATCCAAGACGAGAACCTGAAAGGCATTCGACAAAGAACCATATCGGTCCTCCGCGGCCCCCTCCGAGGACATGCCTCCCCTCCATTCTCCTCCACTTCTCCCTTCCGTCCTCCTCCTCTCCCTTCCGTCCGAACCGTAACCTTCTCATTCTCTTTCCCTCACTCTCTCCCTCCCTCACCTCCTCCTCCTCTTCCTCCTTCCTCCTCCTCCTCCTCCCTCCCCCTCCCCCTCCGCCCCCTCCTCTTCTCCTCCTTGTCTCCTCCTCATCCGTTTGCCCCTCCTCGTCCTCCTCCTGCTCCTCCTCCTCCTCTTCCTCCTCCTCCTCCTCCTTCTCCTCCTCCTCCTCCCCCTCCTCCCCCTCCTCCCTCATTTGTTTTATACAAAAAACACATCTTCATCCCTGTCGCACCCTGATGCCGGTCGAAAGGGTGGGCCGGGCGTTTCGCCAGAGACTTCTTCACCTTTTTTGAGTCTGAAGCTTCAGCATCGGCAACAGCTTCACGGATGGAGGGCAGGTCGTTTTCGAAACGTGGCTCTCGTTTTAGCGCCGCGTACATTCGTTATTCAGTTTTGCAAGAGTTTCACGGATGGAGGGCGTGCCGTTTTCATAATGTGGTTCTCGCCTTAGCGGTAGCGCCGCGCACGATCGCTGTAAAAAGTTGCACGAGTTTCGCGGATGGAGGGCGGGCCGTTTTTTAATGTTGATCTCAGCGCCGCGCACACTCGTTTTCAAAACAGCGGTTCAGGATTGTCAGGGCGCAACTGCTACGTCGATTCGCGGTGTTGAAGTGCCAGGAATGGTGTTCAGGCGCGATATAGCGTCGTCAAGACGCAGCAGTCACGTTGATTCGTAGCGCTGGAGTCCCGCGAATGGTGTTTTGGTACGCCTCAGGGTCTTCAAACGCTTATCTCCCAACGGGGAATCTCGCTCAGTGGAAATTAATCCTTGTATAATCCTTGTAGGGGCCCATGAAGAGGGAGCTTGGAGGGAGGGTTTCTTCCAACCTCGTTTATGGGTCTTGGGAATACACTGGTCCTCCCCCCCTCCTCCTCCTCCTCCTCCTCCTCCTCCTCCTCCTCCTCCTCCTCCTCCTCTGCGCCCTGCGTTCCTCCACTCTCCGAGGCCACGGCGTGGGCAGCATGGCGCACGTCAACTCGGCACGCCCGGGGGCCGCCCCCTCGCCGAGCAGGCCGGGGCTTGCCGCCGCCGCCGTCGCCGTGGTGCGCCTCCTGGAGTGCCGAGCGCGCCGCGGCGAACTGGGTGTCGTTTCGTGCCCTGGGCCCTGGCACCCCAGACCCCCTCGAGCAATTGAAAAAATCACGACGGGAAGCTTTTCGCGATTTTCTGCCTCTGGGGCCCCCTACCGGGCCTCGGGACCGTCAAAAAGACGGCTCGGGACGAAAAGCCGGTCCTGGGGAATGGGTCGGGACCTTTGAAGGGTCGACGTCATGAAAACATCATGACGTCGGGGGTTTGGGACCCCTGCCTTGATTTGAGCGACGCAAGCAAAACGGGGTCGTCTGCGCCGACATTAGCGCGTAAGCTGCCTGCGTGAGGTCGCGCGTAAGCGCCCTCGTCTCCAATGTGGCTTGCCGCGCTGGCGGCCCGGGTAAGCCACCGCATAAGATCGCTATGCCATCTCACATCAAGCCCGTTTCTTTTCGTCGCTCAGTTGTCTGGGCGCTGATGTTTCAGATCTGGGTTTCTGTGTGTGACCGGGCGTGGGGCGCTTCTTTCGCAGTGTCCTCCACGCCTGCGCCAGAGGAGGGGGTCACACGCCGGGGGCTTGGCATCGATCGGGCGTGTGCATTTTGTCTCGGCAAGGACCCTCGAGGAGCGTCTTGGTCCCTCTCGCGAGGAAATGCGCGCAGGAAGCCAGAACATGCAGAGGGGAATGGACGTCCGAGCGACGGCGAGGAGGGTGCTGGCTTGGCTGGGGGGCAGGAGGAGGAGGAGGAGGAGGAGGAGGAGGAGGAGGAGGAGGAGGAGGGAGGAGGAGGGGGACGGAGAAGGAGAAGGAGCGGAGGAGGCGGAGAGGCGGAGGCGGAGGAGGCGGAGGCGGAGGAGGCGGAGGAGGCGGAGGCGGAGGCGGAGGAGGCGGAGGAGGGAGGAGGAGGCGGAGGAGGAGGAGGAGGCGGAGGAGGAAGGAGGAGGAGGAGGAGGCGGAGGAGGAGGAGGAGCAGGAGGAGGAGTCCTTCGGGCCCCGCCATCGGAAGGGCTGCCTCTGGGGGGGGGTGAGCGGCCCCGGGCCCCGCAGGCCGAGGCGCGGCCCGTGCGCGCGCGGGGAGGGGCGTGGAGGGGGTGGGGGCGTCCGGAGGGCCCAGCTGCACGGCTGCACGCTGGGTCGTGCGAGGGCAGGGGGTCTTCTCGCAGGCCTAGAGGTTGACACCAACACCAATTTCGGCGGTGTGCCTCCACCGAGGGAAGACGATCCCGATCTCGGTGGTGGTGGTGGTAATATTCTGGCTTCCAAGGTGGCCAAAATATCACCACCAACACCGAAATCTAGGATCATCTTCCCCCTTTGGAGGCAACCCCCTGTGTTGGTGTTGGTGCCCATTGCCAGGCCTCCAATCTTCGGATCTCCAGAGCCCGCTCTGCACCTCCAGCGCCTCCCCGCTTCCTTCGAGGCTGGACGTGTTTTCTGCTGCGTGCCGTGCGACGCCAGGAGGGCCGTCGAGCCCAGGCTGCTGGAGCCGTCGTCCTGCCTCGTGCTTCTGCCCACGTCTGCTTCCGGCTCGCGTGGGGTGCGCGCCGGCCTGCCATGCCGCGCTCTCCCGCCACAGGCAGGGCCACGTGGACGCGGACTGGGAGCGCATCGAGAAGGAGGAGCGCATGCCGTTCGTCGTGGTGTCCAGCTCTGCGTCTTGCGGTCCGCGCGAGAAAGAAGACGTCGGCGGCCAGCCCGGAGGTGCCGCATTGGTTTGTCTCATACTGGGACCTCCTGGACCAGGCCACGGGCAGGTTTCTTGAGAGCATTCGACGGCAAGACATACGCCCAGGAACATCTGAATGCTGAATTCATTGTCCCATGCAGAGGCAGTCCGAGTTCTTGTCAAGTCTGTTGGAGCTGAAATCAGTAGGGTCGCCCCCTTCTCTCCCAGGCCAGTGTTTCTACGCTTCCTGGCTTCCGTTGCTGACTTCGCACGCGGCCCGTTCTGAATCCGACTCTGTGTCCGGATCCCAAAGTTTCGTTTGCCTGCCATTGCTTGCTTACTACTGCCTTGCATTGTTTGCCGCGATTGAGATTGCTTGATTGCTACTTCTGATTGCCACTGCTTGGCTGTCACTGCTAGCCTGCCTGCTTGTGTGCCTTTGATGGGTGGGTTCGCTTGATTGGCTGCGCCTGCCTCATTGTCACAATAGTGTTGCTTGGTTGCAGTTGTTCCTTGCTTGGTCTTGGTTGCCTCGTTGTTGTGCTTGCTTTACATTGCTCGCGCGCGCGATGCATGTCGTGTTTGTTACATCGCCCGCTCCTGCTTGCGGTCCACTGCTCGAGTTATCATGATGCTTGCTTGCTTTCTGATACTTGCGTGCTTGTTCATGCTAGTTTGCTTACTAGCTCTTGCTTGTTTTTGAATTGTATGATTTGTTGGTGTGCTTGTTCTTGCGTGATGGTTTCTTCGTGATTGTACTACCTTTTTTGCTCCTGCTTGCATGCGTGCCATCATTACCTTGTTTACTATCGAGCGTCCGACTTGTGTTGCCTGATTGTTTGCTGCTAATTGTTGTACGGGTTGCTCGTTTGTTTGCCATGTGTGCTGGCTTGATTACCTGATTGTGCTCCTAGCTGCTTTCTTGAATGCTGTCGTTCAGTCCTTCTTGCTTGCCTGCTTACCTGCTTGCTGCTTACTTTTCGCTGCCTTCTTGTAGAGATTCGATTGTACCTCGACGTATGTGGGAGCTGAAGAGCATCCTTGCACTATACATTCAGGCATGCCTTATCGCTTCTGACAACATCCGAGGCGCATTTCGGCACACCGCTCTCATCCATAGGTGTTCCAACAGTCACGCACACACTTTGTGGCCCACGTGACGTCAATGCCAGGGTCAAGGATACATGCGATGTGCTTGTTTATCAGAGTGAGGGGGCCGAACGGTCATTCATTGTCCCTGGGTGCATGGCTCTAGTGGGGATCCGTGGTGAGGATTCTGCTTGTTGCGTTGTTGCTGTCGTTGTTTGTTGTCGTCGTCCCCCCTGCGACACACGCCGCGACCCACCCGCGGCCCAACCCGCGAACCAGCCCGCGACCCAGCTCGCGACCCGCGACCCTCCCGCGACCCGGCCCGCGACCCACCTGCCACCCACCCGCGACCCACCCAGCGGTCTTTAACGACAAAATCGGCGCCTGCGACGGGCTCGATGCATAGTTTGTGTAAAAGTTAGGCGCCTGCGGCGGGCTTCTTCAGAGCCTCGCACACTCACGGCGTCCTCGCCGCCCCCTCACTCTTGTCCGCAACTGCTGGGTTCTACGTATCCGATTGTGATTCCTATGGTCATCTTACAGGCCGCAGCCTTTGTCGTTGCTTGTTTTCTTCGAGATGCGTCGGTTTGCCGAGGAGACCACCCTGGCCTCCAACTGCGTGAGGCGGGACTGCGGCTGCTTCTCCCATGCTTTGGAGTCGACTGATGCTGCGCCGCCCTCTGACGCCATTTGCCCGTCGGAGCCCACGATGCCCTCTTGGATCCCTCCTCCTTGCGCCGGCGGCGCGAACGTTTTTCACATGTGGCCATCAGCAGATCCGCTGCCGGCAGCGCACCCTTGCTGCTCGATGCAAGCCGCCCTTGCCCAAGGATCTCGCCCGCAAGCCTGCGGCACGTGGGCGCCGGCCCTGCACGGGCGGAGTTCGGCGTGCCGGCCGCAGGGGAGCCCGCGTGAGCGTCGGCAGACCTGCCGCTGCGGAGTGCGGCCAGGTCTGTGGCCCCAAGGGGGGCCCCAGGCCCTCCCCGCCTTCGCGTCTGCGAGCGCCGCCGACGTCGAGCATGCTGTGCGGCGCGCGTGTGGATCGGCATCTTTGCGCGTGCACTTCTTGATCGGGAGATGTGCTTTCGAATCGTCTCGGACATCCGCTTAGCACGAGTTCGGCGTGTGATCGGCAGCTCCGCTCTTCAGCCAGTGTTCGGCGGCCCCGTGTGCGGCACGGCAGTGCTCAGCGTTCCTCTGCGCGCGCAGCTGCCAAGACGCGTGTCTGTGGCTCCGGCTCCGCGGCGCTCACCTGTTCAGAGGCCTTCTCCCTTCGGATGCCCGCGCACCTTCGGACGCCCGCGCAGACCTCCTGGGCAGGCGCTTCGCCAGCGCGCGGAGCGCGCCGACGGCGACGCCAGAGACGCTGCCCGGGGGGACGCGGGCAGGGCCACGTGGGCGCGCAGGAGGGCGAGGAGGACGAAGGCGAGGAGGAGGAGGGGGGTGAGAAGGAGGGGGGCGAGGAGGAGGAGGAGGGAGGTGAGGAGGAGGGGGGCGAGGAGGACGAGGGCGGGGAGGACGAGGGCGAGGAGGACGAGGGCGAGGAGGACGGGGGCGAGGACGAGGGCGAGGCGGAGGGGACCCCCAGCCGCCGACCCGCGACGCCCGCGCGGGCCCCTGACAGCACTGTGCCCAAGGCGGCGCTCGGGCCCCCTGCCGCTCCGCCGCCGCCCCGCCCCCCCGTGCGGCGGCCGCGGCGGCAGGCAGAGCGGCGTGCTCGTGGCCCTCGTCGTGGTGATTGGGGCGACCCCCCTGCCCCGCCGCGCGGCCTCCTACTCCCCCTCCTCCTCCTCCTCCTCCTCCTCTCCTCCTCCTCCTCCTCCTCCTCCTCCTGCTCCTTCTCCTCCTCCTCCTCTCTCCTCCTCCTCCTCCTCGTCCTCCTCCTCCTCCTCCTCCTCCTCCTCCTCCTCCCTCCTCCTCCTCCTCCTCCTCCTCCTCCTTTTCCTCCCCCTCCCCCTCCTCCTCCTCCTCCTCCTCCTTCTCCTCTTCCTCCTCCTCCTCCTCCTCCTCCTCCTCCTCCTCCTCCTCCTCCTCCTCCTCCCCCTCAGAGGATAGGGGAACATCCCGCTACTGCTACCCTTCCCTCGTCGCCACGGCTGGACTCACCCCGAAATGTACAGGCCAGAAGGCATCCCAGGAGAGAGGCCCGTGGAGTAGCGGTGTGGGCATTTCGGTGGCCTTCCCGGCCCTGGTCTTCTCGGGGTCCGTGGACGCGGTCCATCTTCCACGTACTCCGCCGCCTGCGGGCGGCAGCATCCGCCGGACACCCCCTGCTCCCCTCCCCTCGTCTCCCCTCCCCCCTCCTGGCTGAGCGAGTGGGCGATGTGGGCGGTGGGGTGCATGGATCCGAGTGCACCGCCGCGCGTATCCACCCCACCACTCTGGGGGAGGGGTGGGGCAGCAGAGGGGGCCTGGCCGGGGTGGCGGGGGTATTCTTGGTGTGGACAACCCACGAACCGCCCGACCAGGGAGCAGTGCTGGCACCGCGTTTGGCTGGGAAAGGACGAGGGAGATACGCTTTGGTAGAAGCTGGGCGCATGTGGGGTGTGTTGCGTTCCCGTTCCTGGAATGGGGCAGGGAGAAGGGAGAGGGTGATACGGATGTGGTGATATGTGGGCGGGAGCATAAGCGCACATGGATTCAGCATGATCCGTGCGCCTGCTGGGCATTACGATCCTTACCTGCTTGATGCTCTCCGTTTCTGTTTTTGGTGTGTATGTTGTGGTGTACCTCTCTCTCACACTTTTTTGTTTTTTTCTCTCTCTCTCTCTCTCTCTCCCTCTCTCTCACACTTTCTCACCCTCAGAGTCCTGAACGGCCCAGCACGCGAATGACAACGGCAATCCTAGTATGTGACCCTTGATATTCTATCAGCTCTCAGAGTGAGGGGGTACAGCACATTGATGACATATTCGAACCCGCACACACTTGAGGGGGACGTTCATCCCCCCCCCGCCCAGGTACGGTACCAGGCGGTCCAGAATCTTGTGTATCCCCATACCTCCGACGTTTGTTAATTTCTTCCTCTTGACGTCGTGGCCGCGACGGGGCCTCGGCATCTTCACCGGGACCAGTTTTGTATCCCGAGCAGTTTCTTGACAGCCCCAGGGCCCGGTGAGGGCCCACCGCAGGTCGAAAGCGGCTAACCAAATTCCGTCGTGATTTCTGTTTCACGACGCGAGAGTGGCTTGGAGGAGGAGGAGGAGGAGGAGGAGGAGGAGGAGGAGGAGGAGGTCACAAATCGGCCCTCAGGCCCATCCTCGGGTGCGCTCTAGCCCGGACTGCGAGGCGAGTCAGGCCGTGGCGCGGAGAGGTATGCCGGATGCCCAGAAGGATGCAGTACGTGCACAAGAGCCCGATCGTCGACCCTCGACCCTGGATCCTCCCGCGTGACGGGGCCTGCGCGGCCAGAAGACTTAGCACTGCTGCCATGTGCTGCAGCCCTCGGCCGGTGCGGCCCCTCGGCCGTGCGGCCCTCGGCATCGCGCCGCCGCCGCCGAAGGCGATGGCGGCGGCGACGGCGACAGGTTTGGCGACGGCCCAGACCGGCGCGCTTTGCTAAAGACACGGCGGAAGAGTTTCGGTGGAACAGGGCTCGGATCGGGATAAGTCGCTCCAGAGCGTTCCGGAGCGCTCTCAGAGCGTTCCGGAACTCTCTGGAGCGGCCGCGGCGCCTTACATCCTCCAAACCCGCCGATTCTCAGAGATTTCGAGTTATCCCGATCCGATTTTGTCCCGATCTTCGCGTCGTTTTATTCGGTGATTGTCGGCCTCTGGGGGCCCTTGCCAGACTCCGGGGCCGCCAACAGAAACGGTTGAGGACGACGAGGCGGTCCCCGGGAAGGAGTCGGGAAATCGAAGCGGGTACGGAAGGAATGGGCACAAAGACCGACAGCAGTTCTTTCTGATTTGGACCAGGACTCGCTGTCTGGGCCGCCGCGGACGGTGTCCATTTGTGAGACAGAAGGCCGCCTGCCCAAAAGCGGCCGCTGTTGGTTGGGACAACTCTGATTGACCCAGAAGAGGGTCCAGCGAAGAGGTTGTGGGGCGATAGATCTGGTGCACTAGATCTGTGGGGTTGCAACAGGTTTGGGGTAGTGCAATTCATTCTGGTGCGCAAATGTATTGCTGGACATTCGCGTGAAATTCCCTGGCGCCATACGTTTGCAATACCCTTGCCCCAAATCTGGTGCACCACCTCCTTTTCAGCTGGATCCCCCTGTGGGTCACGAGGAGAGGAGACCGCACCTGTGGTTGGGCACTGTGCCCAGTTTTGCCCGTGCCACTTTGTGAAAGGGGGCGCCTTGGCCTTGGGCGCGGCGGCTCGGGCCGAACAAAAGGGGGGGATGGGGAAGGGGGGGGGGTAACGAATGCTGCCGCATGCAGCTGGTCTCGGCCCCGCAGTCGGGCCTGCTCCTCGATGCACTGGGCGCCTCCCGGCGCCGGGAGGCGCTGGGAAAGTCGGCTGCGCGAGCGGATTCTCTGCCCGTCACCCCTTGCTGTCCTCCCCCGTGTCGTGCCCCCCGAGCGGCGGCGGGTGCGGGCGACGGCGACGGTGGCCCCGTCCGTGCAGCCCCAGGGCGCCGCGTGGGGGGGCCAGAGCGGCCCCACCGAGCGCGCGCGCGGAAGGCCGTGCTCCTGCCGCTCTTCGCCTCGAAGGGCTGCCGCGCAGCGCTGGCCGCGGCAGACTGCTGGGCGCGAGAGGGGGGGAGTCTTCTGAGGGGCGAGCAGGGCAGGCGCGGGAGGACGTATAGCGTGTCTGATTGCAAGTGTTAAGTCGGGCCTGTCCCTCTACAGGAGGTATATCCGGAAATAGTCCAACAATTAGTCTGGGGATTGATTTTTCTTGTATTGCGAAGGCCTTACGGCCAGTGCCGCCGACCCTGGATACCTCGGCCCTCGAGGGTGACGTGTGACGTCTGAGGTAAATGAAGACGTGGCGGAGGAGTAGGCGGAGGAGGAGGAGGAGGAGGAGGAGGAGGAGGAGGAGGAGGAGGAGGAGGAGGAGGAGGAGGAGGAGGAGGGGGGGGAGGAGGGGGAGGGGGGAGGAGGGGGGACGAGGAGGAGGAGGAGGAGGAGGAGGAGGAGGAGATCCACGCAAGACGAGGACACCAGGATGCGTCTTCTACACGCCGACAGGGTCTGCGGATTTTTTGACTATGTTTGATTTGTTGTATACTCTATATTTGTCGTCCAAAATCCGCCTGTACGGGGACACGCCCGACCTGATTCTAGGGGCGAGCAAGGAAGGCGCGGGAGGACGTATAGAGTTTTTCTTGCAAGTGTCACGCCTCCGTCTCCTCACTCCCGCCAGCCTCCTTTGCCTGCACTTGGTCAGACTCGCTCGTGTCCAGACCACTCCTACTCAGACTCTCTCTTGTTCAGACTGGCTCACGCTCAGACTCATTGTTACTGAGATCTGCTGGTAATTACTCAGACTCACTCACTTACCTCTCGAACTCACTCACACCCAGCCTCACTCACACGATTCATCTTCCATGAACAGACTCACTCACGCTCAGACCCACGTACTCTCAGTTTCACCGACACTGAGCCCCGCTCACGCTCAAACTCACGCGCACACACACATTCGTACTCAGATAAAGTCAAAGCTGCACACACAGACTTGCTCATACCCAGACTCACTCACATAAACTCTGGCAGGTCACTCATACTCAGAACCACTCACGCTCAGATCACCCAGACCCCTGTGGCGCTGTCTGCCAGGGGGTGGGGAGCAGTCGGGGCATACGACACGGGCCCGTTCGCTCCCGGACGGTGCGGACCTCTCGGGCGCACCGCCCCTCGTCCCGCCCGGCAGGGCAGCCCTGCCCCAGAGCCGCACGCCAGTCGCGATGCAGCAGGCCCGGCGCTGGAGCCTTCCGAGGGGGAGCCGCCCGGGGGCCACGAGACGTGGCCCCCTCCTCTTCCTTCTCCTCCTCCTCCTTCTCCTCCTTCTTCCTCCTCCTCCTCCTCCTCCTTCTCCTCCTGCCCCGTCCACGGCGGCAGCCCGGCGTCGCCGTGCCGCCTGCCCGCGGCCCCCCCGGCCTGCGGCGCCCCCCCGCGCCCCCGAGCGGAGGCGCGCGCGCGAGGCCGCCGCCGCCGCTCCGCCTCGACGAGGCGCCCGTGCCCTCGGCGAGGGGGTCGCGCCGCCGAGGCCTCGGCCGAGCACGTGGCGCCTCGGCGGAGCACGCGCGGCGGCCCTCGCAGGGCTCCTCCTCCTCCTCCCCCTCCTCCTCCTCCTCCTCCTCCTCCCTCCTCCTCCTCCTCCTCCTCCTCCTCCTCCTCCTCCTCCTCCTCCCTCCTCCTCCTCCTCCTCCTCCTCCTCCTCCTCCTCCTCCTCCTCCTCCTCCTCCTCCTCCTCCCCCCCCCACGGCGGCGGGCCTCTGCGGGGAGGTGCGGGCCCCTCGCCGCGACAGGCATCGGCGGCGAGCGAGGGGGGGGGCGTGAGCTCAGGAGAGGACCTCCGCAGAAGGCGGCGCGACTTCTCTCAGAAGCTCCCGCGCCCCTTGAGAAGTAACTATACGCTGAGTCTTCGGGGAACGCTCGGGAGACTCCTGAAGAAGTCCGGGGGACTTCCGAGCCTTCTGAGCAGGCCCGCCCCTCCGCACTTCCCCCCCCAGGCTCGCCGCCGCAACAGAGGCTGGGCGGTGCGCCACCGCAGCCTCAGGGCAGCAGCGACCTGCCCCAGCGCACGGCCCGGGCAGCTTGGCTCCGGGGAGGAGGAGGAGGAGTGGGGAGGAGGAGGAGGAGGAGGAGGAGGAGGAGGAGGAGGAGGAGGAGGAGGAGGAGGAGGAGGAGGAGGAGGAGGAGAGTCGCTCCCGGTCGCCCACGAACGCGGTCGAGTCTGTCCCGAAGCAGGGCACGGAGGGCATCCCGGCGCAGCCTGCCTTCTGCGCTCTGCTCGCCCCACGTCTGCCCCCAGCGGTGGCGCTGCTGCTGCCAGCACCGCGGGCGTTTCGGAACGTGCCGGGTGGATGCGCTCGCGGGCAATGTTCGAAGAAGAAGAAACCGCACAAACATAAACTTTTGGCGCTCCGCGCGGATCTCTTGGATCCGCGCCTTGGGCCCCCCCAGTGGCGCCTCCAGCGCCGCCCCTGGCGCGCTCCGCGCGCCAGGGAGGGGGGTCCAGCGCGGATCCAAGAAGTCCTCGCGGACCTGCAAAAGTTGATTCCCCACTTCCTGAGTGGGGTTCTTGTTTTCCCAGAACATCCTCCTCCTCCTCCTCCTCCTCCTCCTCCTCCTCCTCCTCCTCCTCCTCCTCCCGCTTCCTCCACCATCCCATACTGTATCATACCATACCAATACCATGCCACTCCATACCATACCTTACCATACCATACCATGCATCCACCATCCCATACCATACCATGCCTTTCCTCACACCATGTTATTTATCAGGTTTCGTGCCCCTCCCACCCCTCCAGGGAGGCCCCGCCTGAGCGAGCAGGGTATTCGCACACCATGTTATTTATCAGGTTTCGCGCCCCTCCCACCCCTCCAGGGAGGCCCCGCCTGAGCGAGCAGGGTATTCGCACACCATGTTATTTATCAGGTTTCGTGCCCCTCCCACCTCTCCAGGGAGGCCCCGCCTGAGCGAGCAGGGTATTCGCACACCATGTTATTTATCAGGTTTCGTGCCCCTCCCACCCCTCCAGGGAGGCCCCGCCTGAGCGAGCAGGGTATTCGCACACCATGTTATTTATCAGGTTTCGTGCCCCTCCCACCCCTCCAGGGAGGCCCCGCCTGAGCGAGCAGGGTATTCGCACACCATGTTATTTATCAGGTTTCGTGCCCCTCCCACCCCTCCAGGGAGGACCCGCCTGAGCGGGCAGGGTATTCGCACACCATGTTATTTATCAGGTTTCGTGCCCCTCCCACCCCTCCAGGGAGGCCCCGCCTGAGCGAGCAGGGTATTCGCACACCATGTTATTTATCAGGTTTCGCGCCCCTCCCACCCCTCCAGGGAGGCCCCGCCTGAGCGGCAGGGTATTCGCACACCATGATATTTATCAGGTTTCGTGCCCCTCCCACCTCTCCAGGGAGGCCCCGCCTGAGCGAGCAGGGTATTCGCACACCATGTTATTTATCAGGTTTCGTGCCCCTCCCACCCCTCCAGGGAGGCCCCGCCTGAGCGAGCAGGGTATTCGCACACCATGATATGTATCAGGTTTCCTGCCCCACCCATCCCTCCAGGGAGGCCCCGCCTGAGCGAGCAGGGTATTCGCACACCATGATATTTATCAGGTTTCGTGCCCCTCCCACCGCTCCAGGGAGGCCCCACCAGAGCGGGAAGGGTGTTCGCACACCATGTTATTGATCAGGTATCCTCCAATCCCACCCCTCCAGGGAGGCCCCGCCTGAGCGAGCAGGGTATTCGCACACCATGTTATTTATACGTTTTCGTGCCTCTCCCACCCCTCCAGGGAGGCCCAGCCTGAGCAAGCAAGGTATTCGCACACCATGTTATTTATCAGGTTTCGTGCCCCTCCCACCCCTCCAGGGAGGCCCCGCCTGAGCGAGCAGGGTATTCGCACACCATGTTATGTATCTGGTTTCGTGCCCCTCCCACCCCTCCAGGGAGGCCCACCAGAGCGGGCAGGGTATTCGCACACCATATGATTTATCAGGTTTCGTGCCCCTCCACCCCTCCAGGGAGGCCCCACCAGAGCGGGCAGGGTATCCGCACACCATGTTATTTATCAGGTGTCGTGCCCCTCCCAACATTCCAGGGAGGCCCCGCCAGAGCGGGCAGGGTATTCGCACACCATATGATTTATCAGGTTTCATGCCCCTCCCACCCCTCCAGGGAGGCCCCACCAGAGCGGGCAGGGCATTCGCACACCATATTATTTATCAGGTTTCGTGCCCCTCCCGCCACTCCAGGGAGGCCCCGCCAGAGCGGGCAGGGTATTCGCACGCCATATTTTATTATTAGGTTTCGTGCCGTTCCCGCCCCTCCAGGGAGGCCCCACCAGAGCGGGCAGGGTATTCGCACACCATGTTATTTATCAGGTGTCGTGCCCCTCCCACCCCTCCAGGGAGGCCCCACCAGAGCGGGCAGGGTATCCGTACACCATATTATTTATCAGGTTTCGTGCCCCTCCCACCCCTCCAGGGAGGCCCCACCAGAGCGGGCGGGGCATTCGCACACCATATTATTCATCAGGTTTCGTGCCCCTCCCACCCCTCCAGGGAGGCCCCACCAGAGCGCAGACAAGAAGCAATGGAACCCCGTAACATCTTTATGTGGGGAACTCCGTTAGCATAATGTTTATGGCGTTTTTGCTTCCTCTAGTCAAGTCGCGCAGGAAGGATGAGCCGTTTTCCAAAATTGCCCTTTGTATCCTTCCCCTTCGGCCCATCCTTGGTCGCTCCCGCTGGCCGCGTCCCGCTCGTAGAGTGTCGGCATGACCTTCCAAGACCTTTTTGTATCCTTGTCATGCGTCCTTATTGCACGGGTGCACCGTAGGCCGGGCGTTGCAGCAACGCTGGCACGATCGCTGGCAGGCATGTGGTCTACGGCAAGACCTTTGGTTGCTTTGCAGCGCGGGCCACAGGTGCACTGCCACGAAGGCGAGCAGTAGTATGTTCCCCAGTAAGGTGTGGATTGGCAAGGCGAAGACGTCCACTACAAGGGAGTGTGGTAGATGTGGTGGAGGCTCCTCGTCAGCCTCTACAACTTCAGCGAGGGCCTCACTGCGATTGCGGCCGAAGACGACGCTGCGCAGCCCTGGTACAAGGACAATGCGAAGTTATGACCGCGAAATAGCAGTCGGTCGCGGACGCCCCTCAGGTGACAGTGGAGCGCGCGACCACGCAGTGTAGCAACACGGCGCTAACATACACGTAGACGCGGACGTGCAGGGGAGGGCTTACACTACACGGTCGATAAGTTGGCAACCGTGTTTGACCAGTCGGCCATTAGTTCCGCTAAGCCGAAAGCCAGCGTCGCCACATGCCAGCTGCAGATCCAAATGTTCCCCCCCAAGTGACGATAAGGTGTTGCCCGCGAAGCCGGCCACGGGCCTCGAGGACAGTACCGCAAGAGTCGAGAGCGCCCTGCAGCGTCTGAAGATTCGTGCAACGCGAAGGAGGCTGAAGGCTCACGACACAACCGCGGACGCGGCCAAGCACCAAGTGCATGCTGGTGCATGCCAGCATGCCCCCACCCCTCCCCAGACTTCACGCTGGCCCTGAAGCCTGTGATGCTCATACTGCGGCTGTTGTTGTGATGTGTTATGTGTTTGCGATCAACGATCAATTCTCGGCGAGAAAGCATTGCAAGCAGTTCAGGCCATTGCCGCAAGCATCGAGCTGTCGAGGCACGTCGCACGGATGAGGCCCACATTCGAGGGCACGATGCACGACATATCAGGGTAGCTGCCATGAGGACCACATCAAGAGTACAGAAGGCGCTCACGTCCCAGGTGTTTCAATTAGGTTTAGGGCACCAGTGCCTTAAACGCTCGTGGTGTGGCACTCTTGCCCTTTGGCAGATATTCTGCCAGTGGGCACGGAGAAGGAAATGGTGATGAGGGGCACAGTCGTCGTCGAGGGCGCCCAGCCGCCCACAGAGGACGATGTAAAGAGTCGTGACGCCGCTGCATCTCTGTGCACAGCCAGGATGATGCGAAGCCTCGCGACGTCCCTTGAAGCGAGAAGCAAACGAACAAGTCGAAGAGGAACGTGATGTGCAGGGCACTGTCTGCGCATCCGCGCGCTCGTCTACGCACTCGGGCGCAGACGATGCACTCGAGCAAATACGCCGGCAGGTGCGACCGGGAGCTGGAGCGGTAGCCGCAGCCGCAGCCGATCGGGGTAGTAGGCGAGCCCGATCCTGAAGCCAGGGTACGTAGTGGTTCTCGCAGTGCCACTCGCAGATGGCCTGGTTCTGGGACCACGCCGTGCCGGCGTTACGGCTTCATTGGGTCCTTGATTTCTAGCCGAGGCCATTTAATCTAACGGAGGACTTGCGGATTGCGTGCTGACTCACAGCCCAGGACATGGCCGCCCAAAGCCCTTCTGGAATACATCGCCTTTACTGCTGGCTCTACAAGCGCCCCTGGTATCGGCGGCGCGCCGAGGGGGGAAGTGAGAGGGGGCAGGACTTCTCAGAGGGCGGTGGGGCCGTGCTTTCTGAGAAGGCCCGCCCCCTCTGCCTTCCCCCTAGGCCACGGTGGTCTTTGAAGCGCAGGCCTGCTGCGAAAGGGGGTTGCGCGCGCGCGCTAGCGCACATCATGCAGGAGGCGCTTCCATTCTCACTGCGCCCACGCAGGAGCACACTTGCCAGCTGCACGCCAGGCAGAGGGCGGTCTGTCACGTGAGCTAGCCTAGCACCAATCCGCCCTCAGGAGCAGCGTTAGCGGGGACAGGCTCAGGGGGGGATCCCTCCGCTGACCTGCACCTGTAGGCAATACCCCAGGGCGGACGGCCAGGGTTCCCGACATGGTCTTGGTTGACCTGGGCTGGCTGGCGCTGATTTGGTCGGCGCCGGCCTGGGTCAGCGCGTCCCTGACTGGAGCGTCTGTTCTGAAAAGAGCGGCAGCCGATGGAAGAAACACGATGGCCACGACCAAGATGTCGCGAGGTCTTGTCGTCGCCGATCTAGGTCATTTTCCATGCTGACCGTCTCCGACTCGCCAGGATGATCCAAGACTTGATAATGGCCAAGATGGACGATGACCAACAACGACACCGACGTTTCCGCGTTAAGACGTTTTGTGTCACTCCAGGGAAAACCAAACGATATCGATACCGACACTTCCTGGACCTCTCCCGGGGTGCGTTTTGACCACAAGGTCGAGGCCCATCCAGCCTGCGGCGACGAGAAACTCCCAGGAGGCCCAACATGGCGAACACGAGGCAGGGGCATCGGCATCGGTACCCCGTCCTCCTCCTCTTCCTCCTC